TCTTACTGGTATGCAACATTATGAAAAAAAAAATGTGGATGCTGATCTAATCTACCTACGTTTCTAGCGGACAGGTTTTCCATAATAAAAATGATTATACTCCTTAGATTGATATGCCAATTTAAAATATTTCTAATTTTGTAAACTGACAGACAGTAAATTGTCTTTCTTTATTAACTGTGCTTATTTGTTAAAAAAAAAAATCTTTCCTGCTAAAGAAGCTAAAACCAACATGACCTTCAGGACAATCAATTTAAAATACAAAATTGCATTTCTAGACATACCAGTTATTTCTCCCAATAGGCTCCTGATAGATAGCCTTAAATAGATATTGACTCCTTAGTTCTTTAACCTTCTAATTTTTAAGACATATATTCTAAAATGGTTAGACATGAAAGAAGCCTCAGCCTGAATGCACAGCGATTTCAGTGATTTAGGTATGATGTGAATAACTGCATCTGTAAGTGGCCAGTCCTATTCATTTGTAGTTTATAAACTGACTTCTAAATTTGTGAGTGAGCATGTAAAAGTAATTTAGTTATGCAATTGCATTTTTAAATTCCATATGCAGTTGTGCTGAGTCCATTAAAAAGCAGACCCTTTTACTCTATGTTCCATATGAGCAATCTGAGATGTATTAGGAAAAAAATCGCAAATAATTCTAACTCTCTGTCAGTTATTCTGCACTTACTTAAATATTCAAATAGAGAGCTGATCCAGGCTGTCAAGTCAACAGGGAGGAAAGGTTTAGAGGCCTGCAAAGCAAATAGAGACTATCTGATGGGATTTCTTTTTTTTTTATGAACTGCGCTGGTTCAAAAAAATACTTAAAAAGATTTTTTCATTATTAGAATAAATTCTTATATTCAGTTTCCCAATTTGACACCATTTTCCATTTAAAAGTTTTGAAACACCTGGCAGCTACTAATACAATAAGCCTATGATATCTCTGTGAAAAAAGAGGAATTATTCTCTTGTGTTTAGGCTGATTCAGCACTGCTTGTAATAGTGGCAGGTTTCATCTCGATCCTTTCTTCTGCTAGCAGAGATTGCTCATGTGTATAAGCTGTTTGCAGAAGAGTTTATGTCAAGAGACTGCTACAAAGCAGACACAAACCACCTTAACCAAGGAAAGAATAAAAAAAGAAATTCAATGTGCAACAAAGATACAATGAGACACAATAAGGAAACAAAAATTTTGTGTAGAACAGAGGACAACTTTTGTATTAGTCACTAACGTTCCTAAAATTCAGAGATACATAAGGAGTTACCAACAAGTACAGTGAACACAAACTTTTTAATTAAGGACATTTAGATATTTGACTTAGAAAAAGAAGTAAAACATTTGTATTTTCAGTACTAGAAATATTATCTTCACTGAGCCTATGTCTTATATTGAAACCTGTATTTCAGTTGTCATAACTGTGAGTATCAACTTCCCAAAATATCACAAGATTTTCTCTGAACACCTATTTAGGGAGACTTTCCGGTAGCAAGGAGAGTGAGCAGAGCACCAAGCCGTTAAGGACGGGGGCAGCAGCCTTCTCACTAGTGCTGCCTGCGTTTGTAAAAGCCCCACATTAGGTGATGACCGGGAGAGCCTGGTGACAGCCCCACTCACGTTGCAACTGCCACTTCATCCAGCTGAGCTACATGTGGCTTCAATACACCACTAACTTCACAGGGAAAAAATGCCCAGGAAATTTCAGCTGCTACAGCTGGTTTATCGGAAAGCTTTTCTTCCTCCCACAGTTGTGCTTAGCAGTATTTACTAGCCTATTTCTAGGGGAACTTAAGAGCTGGATTTCACTTCGATAGCTGAACCTACTCAGAAGCTATTTGGGTCAGCAGACCTCTTAGTAAACCAAGATGAAGCAAGAAGCACTGAAGGATCCTTACAGGGAAATTCGCTTTCCTTATAAAGTCATCAGATATTGGATTTGCCAATTTCTAAGGAATGCCTCATCATCCCTATGAACTCTTCCAGGTTTGGAGCAACAGCATTTTCTACCCTTCCTGTCAAATCTTGTGCCGCTGTGCACCAAAATAGTTAGATGCACTGGGCCAGAAAAGGGAGGCACAAGCACAGGCATGAGAAAGAAGTGCATGACTTTTTACATAAAGGCCAAGGCATGAGGAGACAAGAACCCTCAATTCTGGTCCTTGTTCCACAAATGTTTCTGTGTTTTGCTCCCTTACATGAAGCTGTTTTGGGGCAAACACTCTGTGAAGCAGGGAAGTAATCTGCAGAGCTCAAGCCTCTTTCATCTGGCACTCAGCTCAAAAGTTTGCTCTATTTTTTCTCAGGGCCTTACAACATTCTTATCTAAGTTGTCCGTAGCTTTCTTCTTCATCTGTTTTTGCACTGCTTCTAATACTTCTTTGTTCCCACACATGCAAACAGACACACTAGGTCCAATGAATTCTTTGTGCATTGAGTATACGGCACATCCGTAAAGTGCATGACTGGTAGGTCTGGCATGTCTGGGAAGCGTTGAACCTACTGCGCACACAGGCCAACGTGTCTGGGATTTCCATGCTGACTATGTTCATAAATCCTGGAAAAATGCCTACGTATTTTTCACAGGCCAACTCATTTTTCCACAATAATATACTGTGATCAGATCACTTTTCATCTTTTAATAAACTTATTGAATTCAAGTAACGCACCATGCGGCATCATCTCTAGCACTGAAATCATTTTTCTGATCCCTGAGTCTTTTGGATTTGTGAATATTGTTTTAAAAATACAGCCAAGGGAACTGTACCTAGAAGCAATCCATGCATTATTCTAGAAACATTCTAGCAACGCTACATGGAGAAGGTAAAATCCCCTTCATACTCCATGTCAGTGAAACACAGGACCAAAAGACGCTGTTTCCAGCTCATGGGAAACGCTGTGTTTCTAAAAACTGCTCTGATCCAAGTCAGGGTGGGTTTCTAAAGTACTCTGACCCCTGCAGGTGTTCAGGGAAACTGACGCCAGCGGATTGAGGCTGAAGGAACCTGCAATTTTGAGAAAGCTGATTTTACAAAACTTCTGAGCAGTTCAGGGTGTTGGATACCCAGGAGTACCCTTAGTTAGCAGAACCTTAATAGCTTGAATGCTTGTCTAATATGACTTGTTTTTTTTTTTCTTCCTATCTACTAGAATGCTAGAATACTGGAATGAGCAATAGTTTTGTTTCTCCTTAAGTGTATGAATTGGTTTTGTTTATATAAAACACAGTGTCTGATCAGTTTAATGTTTACTTTCCAAATCTGCATGAAAAGCCAGAACACAGTCAGCTCTAATACTGATGTGCAGCAGATGACTACTTCAGATTGGCCATTACTTTTTGAGGTACGTCAGTGAGCTAGTCCTAATCCATTCAAACCATCCACGCATTCAGAGTGTTTTACCAGAATAATGATTTGTTACTCTGCATTCCCATTAGCAACAGGCCTACACCAGCGTTTGTTACCAGCAGACATACAGGCCAGGATGAACAACAGTGAATTACAGAGCTTTTTAAAATACACCAAAGAAAGCTGCACCACCCCTGACCCGAAGCAGTTGGAGTCACTTGGGCTCCTGCTAGTGACTCGTCTTCCATCTTGCCAGTCATCGGCTTTGCCTGTGCGTAGCAGATCTCCAGCCGATGCGAGGGCTGCTCCGTCCCGTCGGAGCGGGCGAGGATTGCAACGGGAGGGCAGCGGGAGTCAAACCTTGGCACTGCCCCTACGAAGCTCTGCGCACTTTCCAGACCCTCTCTCTCCGAAAACTTTGCTCATCATTGGCACCAACATGCACAACCGAAGCCTTTCCAGGCGCCGCCGCATTGTGCCGCTGAGCTAATCCCACCTGCTGGGCAAATTACTTCATTCTCCCAAAACTCTGCAACTTTGGACATTTCTGATAGTGGAATAAGTTACCCCCACAGCCTTTTTAGCACCCTAGCAATGACTTGAATTATGAGCAGCTGGCCCTTTCCCTCCGGGTTGGGAGAGGGCCCTTGCATGGGGGCAAGGGCCGCTGTCTCCTCCACGCTCCCCTCGCCAGGACGCCACCGCCTGCAGCCAGCGAGCCGGGACACGTCGTAAGCAACGGAATTAACGT